ATTTGACATAGAATTACGCAATCTTGTCTTGATTAACTTTAACTTAGAAAACGATCTTTCACATTCGGCTTGTGTTACAGAAATAGTACATATTATTTTATAAATATGATACAAATTGTCATAGGTTTTGTCGTTGAGTCTATATGCAGCAAGAATTCGTAACACACAAGATGGACACGATCCGCATGCTCCATTTGTATGCTGATAATAGAGCGGTTCTTCTATGTCATCCTTTTGATATGCATTCTCTCTCAATATTGTTGTTAAGGGCAAGGACAATATCAAAATCTCATAGTTAGTGACAAATGATAACAATTCGGCCTTTATTTTATCAACGTCGGCATCTGGTAAAAATTTGATAATGCTGTGTAAACTGTTTTCAGGAATTCCCGAAATGGCAAGATCACCAAAGTTTGATGTATCAAAACATGCCATGTCCATATATAATTGTCGATGTGAAGTGAAACGTGACTCAAGACTTTGGACTACCTGATCCATCACCACATTGTAAGTGTGAATTTTGTAGTGTTCCAAAGCTTTAGATTCGTCACGTTTGTCTACTGTATCTTCATCTAACATCGTTGGTGTCTTCCGCTTCCGTTTAGTTGGTAGTTCTATCTTTACCTCTAATATGGTTTCAGTTCTCTGAATGATGCTTGGATTTGCCATCCGTACAAATTGAAGAGCATTATTATGAACATCATCAAAAAGTCTTGATTGACTTTTCAATTCAATTATGGCCTTCTCCACCATCTTGAATGCAACCAACACATTTAATCCACGATTTTGCAGGTATATTGAAAGTGGTCCCACTTTTTCAAAAACTCCCAGGTAGGTAAAGGCAGTCAAAATGGTGTCAAATTTCAGGAATGGCATTAGCATTGTCTTAGCTTCATGACGTGTCTTTGTATCAAAATTTTCTGATTCACTTATCATGACAGACATAAAATTAAATTGACAAACACTGTTGAAGATGGCTCAGCAAATGTTCCAAATATCGCTGTTGTAGCATTTGATTTACCCGACCACCTTGTTTCACCAATCAATTTCAATCTTTTCATCTTATCCATTCCAATTTGTGTTTCAACTAGTTTAATCCATGTTGCCATTCGCTTATTTGACACTTTTATGAATGTTGAAACATTTTGCAAAAGGGTAAAAAATGAAACTGCCTGAATGCAGCAACTGGTTGCCTTCACAACTAAGTTGAGAACATGAGCATAACACCAAATATGTACATGGTGGTCTGCAGCTTCTGTAATCTTTTGTTGCAGTCCATTGTACTGGCCATGATAACTTGAAGCACCATCAGTGCTGTCCGATAGGCAGTATTTCAAGTTAAAGCCAAGCCGCTGTAGCGTCAAATTTAAGAGATCGAACAAGCCTTGGCCAGTACCGTCATTGCTTGGTACAATAGAAAGCACCCGTTCATACACAGTAGCATCTAAAACATAGCGAACCACAATGCTGAATTGGTCAATTGCAGATATATCTTGTGTAGAATCAACTTGTACGGAGTACACTTTTGCTTTGGATACTTCCATTGCAATCTGTTCCTGCATCATATTTTTCATAATATTGAGAAGCTTTGATATAGTAGTCTTACTTAAAAACGTAACCAGAGCACCGCGACCTTTACTGCCGGCTTTACCTTGACGCTTCAGTTTTTCTATTCTTTTGGTTGATTTCTCTTGACACATGGAGAGATGAGAAGCTAAAAGTGGGTCATATTTGGCCAAGAGCTGTATCAAAGCCAAAAATTTTCCATGATTTTCTTCATCATTGTTCAACGAATAAGCACCTTCATTCCTATGACCTCGAAATGGCAATGTTTGCTTACATAAATGTTTAATGATATCAATAACTCGAGAAAGTATTTGTTTCCGTATCAGTACTTCATTATTATATTTCTTTATTGTGTACTATAAAATCTGTCAAAGTCTTGATTATTCATTATACGAATGTAATCAAGAACATGCCTGCGGTGAGTGCTGCTTGATTCGTGTTCTGCAACCCGTTGGCTAACTCGTCTAAAATCTTTGAAGCCAGACACAAATGATGAAACGGTGTTAGACTGTGGTGATTCAAATGCAACACAAAATGAGCAATATAGAGACTGAGAATTTTGGCTAAATGACAACCAATTTCTCGGTATGCTATCCTTCAAGCCCGTTTGTCTATGGTAGATCTTGTTATCAAACGGCAAATGTTCATGTGGTTGAATTGGATGTTTGCTAAAAAAACATTTTAACTGCAAACGTGGTGGATATTCAAATGCTGATGTACTCTGCGAATTCCACTCAATATCTCCACCACCTCGAGCTTGTATTATTGCTGATGTACTCTTCAAATTCGACTCAATATCTCGACTACCTTTTGCTTGTATAACTCCTAATGTACTCTGTAAATTTGACTCAAGATCTCGACTACCTAGTGCTTGTATTATTGCTGATGTACTCTGTGAATTCGACTCAATATCTCCACCACCTCGTGCTGGTATTATTGCTGATGTATTCTGTAAATTTGACTCAAGATCTCGACTATCTAGTGCTTGTATTATTGCAGATGTACTCTGCGAATGTGATTCAATATCTTTACCACCTCGCTCTAGTATTATTGCTGATGTACTCTTCAAATTTGACTCAATATCTCGACTACCATTTGCTTGTATAATTCCTGATGTACTCTGTAAATTTGACTCAAGATCTTTACCACCTCGTGCATTAATTATCTCTGATGTAATTTGTACATTCGACTCAATATTGCCTTGACATTGTGGTTGTACTGACAAAAATGATGTGATTAACTTGCACTTTTTAGCAGAAACTTCTATCTCTGTCTGTAGTTTTTCTTTGCGCTTTTGTGCTCCAGAATTTGACATGAGGATAGTGACCTGAGTTAAGATTTTAACATTTAAAAAATAAAGCAAAAATAAAGACCGTCTCCTTTTAGAAAAAATGATATTTAGATCTCCCCAAATAAATTTTGTCCGATCAAATTTGTTTGAACGGCAAAAATTGCAAATCAAACATATTAAAACTCAAATAAAGACAGGCCACTAATGACAGATTTTTGGTAAAGAAAGGGGGGCAATGACTCATTAGCCACGGCACTAATTCCGGTATATTTTAGAATCTTAACTATAGCTATAATTTCCAGATCTGTGAAATTCTTGTATTCTTCTTTTATATTATGACTTTGCTTACTGCTGGAATTATTTAAACTATTGCATTTAAACATTAGAAAATTCATTATAGATGAATTTACTATTGTATTCCTTGAAAGAAATAGAAGGAAAAGAGTAGCAACTACCAACTTATCCTTTTTTTTTAGTACTTTAACTTGATAGGTGAAGAACATTACGATTATTAATGAAAAAAAACATGTTTTTAAGAAATAATTTGGATTAGACGTTTTATAACAGTTCTTACTCTCTTGATCTATAATCATGTTTAAATTAATGAATTTTTAAATTTTGTTTATAATTTTTAACAATTATAATTTTTTTAACAGAAGCGACAGAACGAAATCCTAAAGAATTTCAAATATAGACTTAATAAAAATCTAAAATTCTGTTTAAGCAAAAAAGATATATACATATTTTTTTCTTTCAACACAAACAGAAGTAGCTATATTAAAAAATACCTTTTCATGTATTTTATCTCCTCCTAAGTTATACATTGTCAAAGTTTAGGATTTTGCTAAAATTTCCGATTTAAGTTTTACTAATTTGCCCTAATAGGGCAAATTAGTAAAACTTAAATCGAAAACCAGCATAGTTAAACTACGCTGAGGTACTTTAAGCTGACTAACACAAAAAGTGTTATTTATGTGTTACATAAACAGTAATGCTTATAAAAAGTTAAAGAAAACTTGATCATCCGGAAATTTATTTAATCCTCTACCTTTCAAATCTTATCATTTCAGCCGATTAGTATGATCAATGATCACCTTTAAATAATTATTCCGAGCGCGAAAGTTAACTAAAAGTTTTAGATTAAAAAAAGATAATAAATTTTATACAAACTAAAATACCAACCTCAAAAGAAGACTAACATCGCTTCAGTAAACTGGTTGATCAAGTGTGTTTTTGTGTTGAACTATTATTTTTTTAATTTTGAAATGAATCTTTAATTCATTTTTTAATTAATTCAAGCACCGCGATTGCAATAATAGTTACAAAGTCAATTCCCTTAGGAAAATCATTGATTATATTTGTATCTGAAAATCATTAACAATTGCAAAACCTTACCAATTCCCTTATGACAATTATATGTAAAACTCTTCTTCGACAATCAATAACGATTGTAAAGTTTTACGATCATTATTGATTGTCAAAGGAGAGTTTTACATGAAATTAAAACTATTTCCATAGAGAATTTCGCACTTAATAGAGTTGAATAGTATATACAAGAAATTAAAAATAGTTTAACTTTATAATTAATTGTAATAATTATATATATATATATATATATATATATATATATATATATATATATATATATATATATATATATATATATATATATATATATATATATATAATATATATATATATATATATATATATATATATATAAATATATATATATATATATATATATATATATATATATATATATATATATAACTATATATATATATATATATATATATATATATATATATATATATATATATATATATATATATATATATATATAACCTAATATTTATACTATATATATATATATATCGCCTTATATATATACTATATATATATATATATATATATATATATATATATATATATATATATTAGGGGCCCACCGGCCAAATGGCCGGTGGGTCGGTGGGCCAGTCCGCCACTGCTGTTCAACTAAAAGTCTAAGTAAAAATTATAATTTTAAATTAAACCTTAAAAAAACTTTGAAAATTTTTTTTTAATTCTTTTATTAAAGTTATTTATTTTAAGAGAGTTAATTTAAACTTTTTTCCATTCAAAAACGGCAAAACAAAAATAAAATAAAGATTTCTATTTTATAATTCGATGAAAACTTTAAAATAATCATCTACAAAATTACAAATTTAAATAATAAAAAAAAAGATTTACAAAATAAAAATACAACTTACTTAATAATGACATGTACAATAAAGAAATAAACAACATTATTAAAAAAAAAAAAAGATAAACTATAAATAACTTGCAATTCAATTCAAAAAATTAATCTTTTATAAAACATTATGTACATAAATAATGAGCTTTAAATAAACTTAAAAAGTATATTTATAATATTTAGTTTCGTTTTTAAAGCAAGCGATTTTGTTTTGAATTCATAAACATATGCTGTTGAGATTGTAATTTATAAATAAAAGTTAAAAGCCCATCATAAAACAAAAAAAAAAACAAAAAAAAACATAAAGACCATTAAATATTTGAAAAATGTCGACTACATTATTATTAAAATTTCAAATAAGAGCTTATACTTTAAAATAAAAAAACATAAAATAGTTGAAATTATTTGGCAGGAGTTAAAGCATCGAGCACTTTATCAATGCTACACTCTTTAGAAATTAACAACTGACGCAACCATCCGCCTTCATTATCAAAACCCATAGCTTCCATTTGTCTAAGAGATCTTTCAAGCTTTGACTCTTTATGATCTATACTTTCTTTGTCAACAAATATGAAATCATTGGCTGGGTTTATAGACGGCTAGATATTTAAAAAAATAATCATTTATCAAAATTTATGTTGTTTTTGAATATAAATTACTTTAAAAGACTAACTAAACCTCCATTCACACAATTTAAAAAACCCATAAATATAACACAATAAAGTAAATAAAAGAAAATAATTACACATACCTGTTGAGTTTCAAGTTGAGGATATAGGTGTCCTATCAAATTCCCAAGTCCCTCTTGTGAACTATCAACCTGCAAGTCTGAGGTTTGTGGACACAAAGTATCAAGTGGATTTATTTGTTCTTTTATAACTTCAGAGACGTTGTTTGGATCAAGATGTGGTACAGATTCAACATTAGTGTGACAAAGTGAGTCTGAAGGATTTACAATTTCCTTATCTTTTTCAATGAGCTGGTTTTCTAATGATACATCTTTTTTATCTGACAAATTTGCCTGGTTCATGTCTCCATTATTTCTGAATACTTGATTGTTTGAATTATTTATGTCTTTATCACTGTTTGTTCCATTGCTTTTAAGATCGCACTGTTTTATAAAATCATCAACCAAAGTATGCATTTGTTCAGTAGGTACCCCAAACCTCTCATTTATAACCTTTATTAAACTATCTAACTTTTCACTAAAATCTTCTTTTTTCTCAACCTTATCAGATTTTTCTTGACAACTTTCTATATAGAAGTCAATTTTAATACCCAGCATTGATTCAAATATTTTGATTATTTCTTTGAAATTATTTTCAATTTTTTGAAATTGAGAATGATCAAACTTTTGATCAGATGCAGTAGGTTTATTTTCTTCATTATTGCTTGCATTTTTATTAGAACAAGAATTGCTCATGTTCGTACGCGCATATCTTTCCCAGCAATGTGAAAATGGAAACTGACTGTAATACATATGCTTAGAAGATCGAGGTTCTTTAATAACCAGCATTTCATGGTCTGATGGGTGCTCTCCTTTTTTGTAGCATAATGAGCACAAATCAAAGTCAAAACATTGAGTGCATTTGAAGCGATTTCCATATATCTTAGAATTACATCCATCACAAGTAACTCCAATATGTTCTTTATTTGATTGAGCTGGCTTTGTCAATTTCTCTAAAAAAAAGATGATTTTTTTTTTCAAAGTACTTTTACATATAAAAATATGATTTGTAATAAATTTTAAAAAATCATAACAAATTTCTTTACTTTTTACATAAAGCTTAAGGCAACCATTGTCAACGCTCTCAAAGGCTTGCTGCAACTCAATATCAGAAGAGATTGAAATGAAATCATTTTCTTTATCTAAATTTGTCAAGAATTAAACCAAAACAAATTTAAAAGATATATAATTAAAAAATAAATCATATTTACAATTTTTATTGACATGCTCTTATAAAAAAGCTGTTAGATTATTATATAGCAACTTTTTATAAAACTGTGTTTATCAATACATAACTAATATATATTAATCAATACATAACTAATAATATTAAACTGTGTTCATTAACACATAGCTGATATAAAATACAAATTTTTTACAATTCTTTAATAAAAACATAAAATTAATATAAAAATATATATATTTACTGCAAACATTTATTAAAAACATTATTATCTCTCATTTTATATATTATATAAACGTTGTAATGTCTCTCTTAAATTGAACTTATGTACTTTAATTAAAAGAAATAACCATACCTTTATAAAACAAGTCAAGATCTTTTCTTAACAGATTTGTAAATACTTGGCGGATCTTACCCAAAACGTATTCATAATTAGCAGCCAATTGAGTTTCTACCGAAAACTTTCGAATTTCTTTATTTTGCTGATTCTCAACATAGTAAACTTTCATGGATACTTCTTTTTCATATAAAGACATTCTTAATAGTACTATCAATGAGACAAATTTGATATTTATTAAATGGTTATATTTTATTTTACTTTCTTAGAATCTTTTATATGACTATATAAAATCCTTAGTCATGATGATTTTGCTTTTTTTTAAATATATTTATAGATTTATTGCAATTTTTGCATAATCACGATGACTTGCAA